AACCGGTCATGCAGCAAACACAGTTGGCTACCTTTAACAACAGAAAAACTAAAAACCACACAAGGGAAGATGAAGAAAAACAAAACAAAACATCATGTTATATCAACAATGTGACACACTATGGTGTTTATTTAAAAAAAACCTCTGCATAGAGCACATTTATTAGCCAGAGGGGTAAGTGAGTTAGGGGTGTGYGTATCTGAYGCCATGAGTGTTGYATGCTTGTGTGAATATCTGAAGAATGAGCCTGAGGAATCCAGTCCCCAAAACCAGCACAGCCATTGTTCAAAATACTGATGTTGACTGTTCATTCTGTGCAGCCTTCAGCTAGTGCAACTCTACACATCTCTGCTGAAAGCTTACAATTAAGACCATGAAACAAAAGGTCAAATATTCTATTTTACTGTCATGTATCTCATCCTCATGCATCATTGTGATGTTTCCGTTTATTTTTCTTTATGAGAATTTCAGTCCCTGTTTAATAAGAAATGTTGCTAACAATAAAAGCAAATGAACACATACTGTTTTCTCTGAATGTACATCTCTTCAACAGAGACGTATCTGTCTTGTAAGTGTATGAAGCAACCAGTATGTTTGGTTCTGTGGCCAGACCTCCAGTTTTCAGTCATTCTGAACGTCTCAGGATGTTTTCCACACGTCCCTGGGACTGTCATCATGAGAATATTAAAGTTGTTTTCCAGCTTCCATGTCAAAGCCAGATGTCAGAGGATCCTACAGCGAGACTAAATGAACATACTGATCCTCTCAGTGGCACCGGGTCATGTAGGAYGTGCTGCCTGTGGTGCAGGACCAGCAGGACGTCCACCCTGTAGTGCAGGACCAGCCGGGCTAAATTAAAATAAAGAAAAAAAAACTCTATTTCAGAACAATGCTGCTAATTGGTTCCCTTTTTCCCCCCTCTATCCTAAGAACCTGCTTCTTTCAGGGCATGTCTGAGCCAGCTGTAATTGCTGTTTATGTTGGCAAAAGGCAGGAGGAGGTGTGTGTGCAGAGCGAGAGATTTCCAGACCTTGGAGAGAGCCAGAGGAGGACATTCTACTCTGCAGATTTTTTTTTCTAGTGTAAACACAGAGTTGTAATCTCCCATGCCAACCCTCTCGCGTTCTCTCACAACTGTAAGGATACTTTTCAGCAGCGTGTCTATCCTGCACCCCTGGACTCTAATCATGCAGGAACTGGCGGTCAGCAGCTTGAGCTTTCAGTTAGGTTTCCACTGCCCAGAAACCAGATGTGTGCTCACTGTTAAGAAAAAAAAAATCATAATAATTGAGCCGTGGCCGTGTAAAAACAATCCATCCCTGTGTAAAGACAAGGGGCATTTTCAAAGCTGAATGATTCGGGATAAGCTTGTTGACATTCTAAACTCGGAGTGAAGGAGGCTGGAGACGGACGCGCTCCCAAATTGGTTTGAAAACTGCGTCAAAGAAAAGAGCGAGCATTCAGAGAGGTGACGCTTCCCACCCGTCACTGCATAAATCGAGGGGCTAAAAGAAGCTGACAGAGACTGACACGGATATCACTTCCTTCCAGGAATGCATAAAAAAACCTTGCAAAAAAGATATAAAAATAAATAAAGCAAACCTTCACGCACTGAAGGGCAGTGTGGAGATTACCGAAGAAAAATAAACCAAAATAAAGTTTAAATGTGTCGGATGTCAGTCCTAAAACAATGTCTTACATAGCCTATTTTTGACATCTTTACAGAAACTTGAAATTTATGGGGCGCCAAGTGTAAAATGAAATTTAAAAAAAGTTTCACTAACATATTTTTCATTATTTAGCCTCTTTTTGAGTGTTAAAAAATTCCACTAACATTTTATTGTTATTTAGATATTTTGGAATGGAACAGCCTTTGCTGTTGGTGCTCGACTCGTGTTATGATGTCATCATTCAGAGACAATAGCAACTGCTAGCGGTCCGATACAGCTAAAGTTTCCCAAGAAGACATCAGTCATGCAGTTGCAGTCAGTGGTTGGGCTTCACTTTAAACTGCTCAACCACAGGTACCACCCATATTGTTTTTTATTAACACATTTTGAATTTAGATTTTAAATCTTATCTATAGCAGCATTAGCAGTGGCTAGCGGTGTTCATATATATAT